GCACAGGTCCTACGGGACATGGTCTTGGTCAGACCGGTTCCCCCATCTGCCTCCGGTTCCTCCAGTCCCGGCACTGGGATGGGAGCAAGGCTGTCGCGAGCTCCCCAGAGAGCTGTGATGGCTCTCAAGCAGCACTGAGCTCCCAAGGGGATCCAGCTTCCTTCTGGTCCTGGCCAATCCCTTTCTGCCACGGGTGAGATCCCTTGTGGTCTGACCTCGCATGGCGGGAGCTCATCTGATCAAATGGGGAAGGATTAGTAAAACTGGGAAATGTTTCACAGGAAAGCATTGATTGTTTTTTGTAATGAGCTATTTCACTGCCAAGTGTTGCAACAAAACACTGTGGCAAAATACTGATGTTTTTCACACAGACGTTTCCCAATTGATTTTTTTTTTTTCCCCAAAAAAATTTTTCATTCCACCCACAAAGTGAATATTTTGACACTTTGTCCCGGGTTGGGCTGAAGACAAAAGGGGGAAATGTCAACCTTTCCCAAGGGGTGAATAGTCCCCTTTCCAAGCAGCAATTTCTCACAGTCGTCCCATGTGGACCCACAAGGACCTGTTCACGTGGCTTTAGGAAATCACTTTCTTCTCTTTGTCTGAATTCACCCAGATGGTGATAAAATGGTAATGCCTGCCCACTGCTAAAAGGCAGCCACCTCTGGGGAGGTGCATGTTTGCTCTGTAACAGTGCGCAGCAATCATATGCAACAGGTTTAGAGTGATAAATAAGGGACAATGCGAGTCCAGATGAAACAGCAGTAGGAGTGCGGATGAGATGAATTAAGTTGGAGACATCCAGATCTATCCCCCCCACCACACACCCCACCCCTTGTGCCAGGTGCTGTGGCATCTTTAATGCTTAGACAAAGATCTTGGGATAACATTAAATGAAAAGGTGTAATCCAGTGCCAGATCCCCCCCATGCTCAGCACCCGCACTTGGGGCCTTATTCCCAATGCATTCAGCACCCAGTTGGCTGAGTTGTTCTGAACTTCTGGCTGACAAAAGCTCCACAACAGCTGAGGCTAATGGAGCTGCACATGATGCTGCATTCCCAGTGCCTCTGCCGATTTGTGCTGAGAGTCCTGGTAACACAGCAACAACAGCACGGCATGCACCGTGCAGTAATTCAACCCCTTGAATAAAAGCTTACGTTGTATGGGGGATCAAGAGTCAAAAAGTCTTTTTTAATTACGTTGCAGTGACTTGGTTGTGTGTTTCCATTGCTGCACAAATTTGCTTAATGGTTTTAGCCTGTAGAAAAGCTTTGAATTTTCCCTCTGGCAGAAAGGCATGGTGGAAGCTTCTGCAGCTCATGCCCATGCTGTATTTGGCTGCAGGGGCAGTGCATGGGGGTTCATGAATATCCCAGACTGGTCCACCTCTACGCCTTTGGTCCCTGAGGCCTCCTCAAGGCTGGCACCCAGCTTTATTCCTGTTGTCCTGAAAAGGGCTGGAAGGGAGAAGGATACCGCATTTCTCACCATTTGTAACACAACAGACTGTCTTTCCCCCTTGCTTCTGGGTCTGTGCATAAAAGAACAACCAAACATGCCACCAGGCCAGGGCTAAGAGATCAAGCAATCTTAAACACGGGCTCTTCCCGTGAAAGGCTAGAGAATACTGCCCCGCAGAGCCTCCCCTAGCCGACACATTGCTGGAGCTGTCATTTCTCCCTTTCGTCTGGAGACTGGGCTGTAAGAAATGGCACCCGTACCCTCACACTGAATGACAAGCTTCCTGGTTGGACCTATATTAAAAGCAATCGCTCCATCTGCCGCCAAGAGAAACATATTTGGAGATAATAACAGACTATGAAACAGGCTTTTCGAGTCCCACATTCCCCACACAGGAGGGGACCAGACCATGAGGCAGTGCAGGAAGGTGTCCTTTAAGTGCTCTGACTCACCCTGGCACGCATAGGTCACTCTGCTGCCTGCAATCCTGCTGTGCCGGTATCTTCTCCATTTGCTCCAGCGCAAAAATGGGGTGCTCGTTACTGCAAGTGCAAAGCTGAGCCCAGACCTCAGGTGCTTCTCTGGTGTGAGATGTAGGCTGAGGGGCTGCTATCCTGTGGCTTCGAGTTCCCCAAATGCGTTTGAGGATCTCCGCCTTTGTGAGTCCAGCCTCTGAGAGCACTAACAGATGTGTATGTTCTGGTAGGGATAGGTCTTCCAGTATTTCAGTTCTCATTTATAAGCCCATCTTCTGTCATCTCAGTTATTGTCCCTAATGAAACAGCCAAATATTCCCATGCACTGTGTGCTGGCACGCAAACCATCGCTTGTAAGGTGATGTCAGATGCTGCAGCTGGAATATGAGTTTAGTTAACAGTTACAACACTAGGCGCTTAAATGCTACTTTGCATGCATAGATTTAAATGATTCGAAAGGGTGGGTAAGGATGACTGTCCCCATTTGACAGATAGGGAAGTGGAAGTACTAAGGTGCCATTACTTGGTCAAAGTGATGCAGTATTCAGTGCCAGGAATGGCTCTCTCAACTGTCTAGTGAACTAGCAGATTGGGCACTAGCGCGAATCAGTACAGGACTAGTTTTGGTATGCAACAGAGTGCGTGCAGAATAGATTTCCTCCCTCGTTCACCTTCTGTTGTCATAGAAGACAAAGCGGACCACGTTCACTGCGACAGATACCCCTTCACTGTCTGTACATATAGTCATAGATTGTACATGCACCATTCTTCGTTTTCCAAGTGCAGTAGTGTTCCTGATTTCCCCAAAACCAGACTCTTCCCAAGCTCTTCCCTCAGGACAGGCAGAGTGCGTGAAATGTCTGGCAACTCTGAATTACAGCCTATTAAAATAACAACAGAAATTACTGCTCTACAAAGAGATCAAGTCAAATGAGAAATAACAGATTAATAGTGATTAACTGCTGCAACAGACTGCCAAGGGAAGCAATGGATACTCCATCTCCTGACATCTTCAGATCAAGACTGGATGCCTGCCTGGAAAAAAGTAGAAAGTCTATGGCCTGAGTAATACAGGAAGACAGACTACTGTTGTTTCCTTTTAGTATAGTGCCCAGGGTGCCAGGCACAGCCCAGAACCCCCCTGTGCTCGGTGCTGTACAAACCCGGTCCCCACCTCGGAGGGGTCTCGGACTGAGAAAAGCACAAGGCTCAAGAGCTGGGTTCAGACAGACAGGGAAGGCTGGGGGGCAGCAAGACGACATCAGTGGGCACCGCAGGCAGAGATCTTGGCACTCACCGGCTTCACTGCTGCCATCTTTGAGCAGGCTTGGGGCTGGGAAAGGGGAGGAGGAGTAGCCGTGCCGAGATTTCACGGCACCGTGGAAAGAAGTGCTACTTATCATTTCAAACAGGGACTGACAAGCTGGCATGTGGGTGGACTACAGGAAGGAGCTGGTGTCTTCGTGGTAAGTGAGACGATAGCGGTGAGCGCGGATGTGTCAAGAAGGGACTCGAGAATGAAGATGAGCAGCTCCGAGCGTGCAGGAGAGGCAGGCGGTGTGCCTTGCAAAAGGAGACGATGACAAGGAGAGCCATCTCTGCAGAAGCATTTCGATGGCTGTGAGCAAGGCACGGATGCACTGCCACGGCCAGAGGAAAGGGTGTCGCAGATGTGGAGAGGACCTTGGACAGGAGCCTGAAACCCCTTTGGATCTCCAAGACCTTCATAAACCAGCTTGTCTACGCACGAAGTGGATGGTGAGGACAGCTATCACCCTCGTTTCACGGATGAGGTAGAGTTATCAAGTGACTCCGGCCCGCACGCCTCCCCAGCAGCCAGGACCTGAACCCAGGGCCCTGACTCAATCCCACATCCGAGGCCACCCTCCTGCCCTGATTACGTGAGGCACTAGGAAAGATTTTAGGTGCTGGATGAATAAGGTGAAGATTTTACTTCCGGCCTTAGCACTGACTCAGCGCGCACGGGCGAGTTGCTTCACCTCCCCGTGCCTCGGTTTCCCCACCTGTAAAACAGGATATGAGGCCGATGCAGAGCCTCTGTAATGAGCGCACGGCCCTGTCCTGCAATCGCTTGACAAACAAGGGAGTTCTCGCCCTCGCCCAAGGGAACGTCCCGCATCCTCGTCTGCTTGTGCCAACCAGCGCGGGAGCGTCTGCCAGCATCCAGGGCCCCTGAAAGGCCGCGAGCATCCCAATCCCGTGCTCCTTGCTCGGGCAGCACTACCAGGGTGGGCAACAACCGCTTCCCAGGGGCTGCCCCACCTCGGCCTGAAGGCCCACGGCCCGTGCCTGGGAGTGCTGCACCCAGCGCATTCGCTCGCTGGACCATCCTGCCCACCAGGTTGCACCCAGGAT